ATATATATATATATATATATATATATATATATATATATATATATACTGATATATATATATATATATAAAATAAGTTATATCCGTATATACTTACATGGCACGAATCTCGAACGTTACCAACAGCTATATTCATTCGCAGGGATATTATTTAAATGTTTCTGCAATATATAATAAAATATTTCTCGGACGCCACATCTAGATTCTCTAAACGTTTCAGGAACGTCGTAAATGAAATGCCCCATATGTAACGTAAAAGAGATAGGACATTCTGGGTTACCGACATGTTTCATAGATGTTCCTGAGATATATTGACAAAAACATTATATGTCAATATTTAATGTGACATTGTTGTAACATTTCTGAAACGTAATTTTGTTTAATGGGAGCATAAGTGGTAAAAAGTAAAATTAATATATTTCATACATACATTGATGAAGTTGTAGCACTGACTTGCAGCTGTTGTAGTAGTTGGTACTTATGCAATTTTAATCTACTCTTTGTATTCTATAATTTGACATGCTCATCTCTGTACATACATGAAGGGTCCAAACTTACATAAAATGGGTGAAATTTTTTGTGATAATCTATTTAAAAGTTTAAATTGAGAAGAAAAAATACTAAGAAAAAAAAATCGCTATGTGACACTAGAATGACACTAGAATTGCAATTTAAAAAAACAATTACAAGACTTGTATTAAATGATAAGATTATTTTATCAAAAATGACAATGATAAAAGAACAGTTATTTGATGAACTTATTCATTTATACATTTGTCAAACTTCTGTGACTGATAGTGTACTTATATTTATGTGTACACTTGGTTGAAAAAATATATAAAATATCTCACAAAAATATAAATAATAACATCCTAGTTGGTCAAAATCAATACAATGAACAAGATAGATATAAATGCATTATTTAATCGGAACATTTTTTAGCGTGTCACATGTTATTTTGCCGCCAGTTAAAGTGAATAGTAGATTTCCACTCCAAGAAGCTATGCCATTTCCGTTTACCATAAGATCTGCCTAATAATATATATTATCTTATTACAATGCATGCCTTTTATATTGACCTCTTAAATATTATAGGAATTAATGGATATGAGTGTATGAAGATTTAATAAGCTATTTAATGAATTAAATCAATTTTCAGACATACCTGCAATTTCTCCCATACTTTTTTCTTTGGGTTTAATACATCATCTGCAACTCCATCTTCGTATCCCTCAATAACAATTTTATCACCAGGCATGCTGTCCGTAGGAGGCCTTAAAGGCTCTACCTGCCTAGTTGGTTCTTCACTATATAAAAAATATCATTTGTTGTGCATTGAATTATAAAACACAGATTTCGAAAATATCATGATATTTATATCAAAATGTCATGAAGTATCAACAAAACATATCAAGCACGTTTTTGCAAAAAATGTACATTTTCTTAAAAAATGCTTCAGACGAAAGGTGTAAGGTTTATTAGATAGTTTTATTAGTGCGACCTTGAATAACATTATTAAGGTCACATTATATGTCAAGGTCATGACTTTGAACAATATTTAATAGATTTTAATCAATCGGATTTGAGCAATGTTAATATCAGCGATTGTGTGTGTGTGTGTGTGTGTGTGTGTGTGTGTGTAACTTTTAAAAAATAGATACGCATTAAAAAATTTCTAAGTAATTTTTATAGTCCTTACCTCAACAGCACAAAAATTGCAACAATATTGCTCCAAAATTGTAATATTACATGTTATAACAATATTGCTGCAAGTTTTGTGCTGTTGGGATGTAATGCTATCCAAAATAGCAATAACAAATGGTGGCAAAAAAGCGAGAGTCCACGAGTAATAAAATGATAAATATATATTTTCACTTTAGTAGGATCGATTTCGTTGTTCTTCATCCTTTTCATTTTTTAATATTTTATTTAATATGTTGTTCAGAGTTATGATCTTGATAATATTTATTAAGATCAAGGCTATTAGAGGTTGTTTCTTTTATTTTCGTTTTTACGTAAAAATAAAGATTAGAAAAATAACTTCCACTGGCCTTGATCTTAATAACTGTTATCAAGATCATAACTCTGAGCAACATTCGATAGTTTTATAGCCGTCGATCTGACACCTTGGGTAATGCTAATTTCGGCGGTACTCTAACTTTCCAGCTATAAAATCGAACAGTATTTAATGAAAAAATATTTTATTATAATGTTTTGGAAAGCTGTCGATATAAGCTACGAGAAAATGGAATAAAAATGAGAAGTCCCGTTTAAAAAATTCTAAAGGCCACTTCGACCAATTCCAATTAACTTCGATCGACGATTAGTCAATTAGAATTGAACAATCGGATTTGTCATTTCGCTTAATGACAAATGCGATGGATTGGCCAATTCCAATGAACTGACCGTTGATTAAAGTTTAATCAGAGTTGGTCGAAGTGGCTCTAAGTGACTTTCCTCTGACTTTAACAATGTCAAGGTTGAACCAATGATACCATTTTATGTTTCCCTCGAAGTCACAAAACTTTGTCTGAATCATTTTTTAATTTAACATAGTGTTTCTGAGATAATTGAATGAATCCTAAAATGGGATATCCTGTATAATAGGATTATACAGATATCCTATAGGACTTACACTGAAGCACAAAGAACCATTCCATACGATGAGATTCCCTTGAAACTTGCTGGTTTCAGGTTGGCAAGAACTATGACCATTCTATTTTCCATCTCATTGAGAGGTACAAAATTAACTAAGCCACTGACTATAGTACGTGGACCGTTTGGTTCACCTAAATCTATTTTCTCAACATATAGCGAATCTGCATTTGGATGCCTCTTCACTTCGACTATCTTTCCCACTCGGATATCTAATCTTGTGGGAGTAATTTCCACTTCTACAGTTTCTGAAGTATATAAAAAATTGCAATTATTAGGTGTTGGAATTAATTCGTAGCGTTTTACAAGTGATGGGAAGTACTTTCATTAATGTATTTTTTAATGCTCATGTGAAATAAATAACATTCTTTCATTAAAAACGCTACGAATTAATTCCAACACCTAATACAATCGCAATACATAAGCAATATACTTCTTATATACTTCTTAACAATAACAAATGGTGAAATAATTCCATCGTTAAGTACATTTGGCTAAAATATACAAAGCTAAACTTGCTTTGCTTACTTAAAAAAGCTAAGCTTACTTTGTTTCTGTGGATACGCTTTATTTGCAAGTGATTTCAATTTCGAGTCTGCTTCAAATTCTTTTCTTATTGGATCAAGAAGTCTGTTGATATATATTTCTACTGCATTTTTCAAGTCACCAGGGTGTATTTCTTGGTTCGCAAAAGCGGCTTCCAAATTTTCATACTCGGAGAAAGATATGTCACCGCCTGAAATCATTAAAACCAACAAACCATTATTTTCCATTAAACAACTTCTATTAAACAATTTCTTTTGTAATATATGATCATTAGAATTATTCAAAAATAATCATGTGAGAAAAAACTGGATTCATATAGCCTTAATTTTAATTATTAGGTCAAATATACAATTATAACACTCTTTTCATGACACTAATAAGTAAACTTATAAAATATTTTTATTATATATTAGGTGTTGGAATTAATTCGTAGCGTTTTACAAGTGATGGGAAGTACTTTCATTAATGTATTTTTTAATGCTCATGTGAAATAAATAACATTCTTTCATTAAAAAACGCTACGAATTAATTCCAACACCTAATATATTATTTAGCAAAATTCTGTCTAGTCAATTCAAAAATAGTTCCAAAACATTCCAGGTAAAAATTCTAGTTTATTATAGAATTTATCTCGATTTATGTCCATTATTTAATTAATTTTCATCAATTCCTGCAATATTATTATATATGCTTCGTATTCAAATTAGGATTCTATATGAATGAATTAAAACACTAATAAATATGAAACAACATTATTTATATCGTTTTATAAGTAATATCAAACGAACATATTCCGTCAACACAAACGATTTTTCTATTACATAATATTTTAAGCATTAAATTCAAGTTTTCTATTGGATCTTTAAGGGAGGACTTATATCCAAATACAACTTTTCTTTTTAATTATTTCTTTTTTTCTTTCTTTTTCACACTGATTTTTTTTTATGAAAAAATGATAAATTTCAAGCTAACTCTGAAATTTTAAGGGCTTTTCAGGAATTTTCCAGAATATATAAAAAATTTCAATATAATTTCAATATCCAAAGATATTCAATGACCGCTGGACACCAGATTATACTGCTCTGCCATCATAATAACATCACTTTGGAGACAATAGATAGTTCTAAAAGGATGTTAATATGATGGCATTGCCATATAATGAAAATATGTATTAGTTCACTTATCAATCATAAAAAAGAACTTATCTATCATAGTGTATATTTGGACTAATAATTAATTAGGCTTCATGACTTGATTTTTTTCTTGGTATTATGTAGAATAGAACCTTGTCTGCATAATTACCTTTTTTCTCACATAATGATCATAAAATTAAAAAAAATATTTAATAAAAATCAGTTGGGGACTAAAAAATGGCCTTATTGATTCTCCTTTATTAAAATATATTTCTATTTCTTTTCTAAATCTGCCTATATATAGTGTGTGTGTGTGTGTGTGTGTGTGTGTGTGTGTGTGTGTGTGTGTGTGTGCAAACATCTGAATCTTGAATGTCCATTTTAAATAATGTATTAAGATTTCTCGAAAACTATGTATGATAGATATGAAAAAAATGTTTCAAACAATGACTTTATTACAGTATTTTGAAAAGCTCTTAACATCAACTATTAGATTTTGATTAGATCCATCAAAAATAGGGTGTTTCATTAAAAAAAATCGATGTGATCTTGATCTGACCTTAGCGACGTCATCCAAAGTCAAATCAATGGTATCTTTTTATGCCTTCCTCCGAATTATACAATTTTTGTTTGAAACATTTTTCCGTATCTACCATAATTTTCGAGAAATCTTAATGCATTATTTAAAATGGAACATATATATATATATATATATATATACACACGTGTGTGTATGTGTGCGCATGCGCGCGCACGCGCGTGTGTGTGTATTCGGTGATTTTTAATAATTAATATCTTGTTAACTATTGCGAAATGATAGAGAATTTTTTGACTTAATTTAATCCGCTCTATCAGCACACGAAATATTCCGCGATCATTCTGGGACACCACTGTATAAACCACTTACCAAATTCTGCAGTTCTTGGTACATTAAAAGTTTCGCCATCTTTAAATAATGGAAATATGACGTGTTTAGAAAACGCTAAAATTCCATTATCTGCGATATTTCCAGGTTCACAAAATGCTTTCTTTAACTTCTTCTTTACTGTCACAGGATTGTCCAATAAATCAATCTTAGAATCTTCTTCAGATGAAGACATTTTAGCACCAGCCAAGCCAGGAACTAAACAAAAAGCAAATATGAAAAAATTATATATAATAATTGCATTATATTTAAATAACACACAAAGGATTTGATTCATTTTACTGCACAATACTGACTCATCGGATTCATCAGATGGATATGTTTTTCATAACCTAGCATTGGTAAATATTTTTCTGAGAAGGTGAAGATCTTTCTTTGATCGACGCCACCAAATTGTGCATCCACCTTTAAGTGATACTCATCGAGTGCTTGTAGACCCGGATAAAGAAGACCCGATAGCAATGGATTAGAAACTTGCTTGACAACTTCAGCACCTGCTTTCTTCGCATCATGTTCTGTCACCAACGAGCTCAAACGATATACGTCTAATGTGTATTCCCTCGAAAAAAAATGTTTTAATTGTAATAGCATTAATAAATATATTGTCGCGTTGATAGAAAAAGTGACATATCTTAATATTACTTTCCAATATGACTTTTTTAAAATTGAAACAACATTGTAATTAGAACATGTGTAATTAAATTTTAATTTAAAATAATAATCTTAATTTTTTGTTATATTTTCAATTATATGCATTCTTTGAAACTATATCATAAATTTATGATTTTTAAATTTTGAACAGTGCAATCCTAATACTAATTTCTAATTTATTTCACTCTTCTATCAACTCGGCCGTATATATCAGAAAAATAGAGTTTATAATTCAAAATACAAGATGCAAAGAATTCATTTAATACCTACTTGGATAATTGAAAATCTGTGCCTTTAATAAATTTTAATTTATCTAATGGTACATCAATTGACTTCAATATCGATTTGATTATAGCCTCATAATATTGAGTACGAAGCTCTAGAAGCTCCCATGGTGCTTTCATGTTATCTAAGTACGCATGAAGGTCTGCAAAGAGAATTGTCACTTCGGTTTGAGCCCGTAAGAAATCAGCTATCTTGGACATAGGTACGAAATAGCCAATATGAGGCTTTCCTGTTGTAGCTGTACCCCAATACAACTTCAAATCACGTTCCTTTAAGATATTCTTAAGTTTCTCATCTCCCAGCCATTCTGCCAGATTTCTGGTAATAAGCTTATATTTGTCGATCCATGTCAAAGCCGTCATTGTTCTTTTTTGTATAGCAAACTATTTTTTGTAATTACCTAAATAAATCATAATAGAAATTCTATATAAAAAGTTAGCGAAAATGATCTTAGATTACCCAAGTAGCACATAGTGCTTACAAAGCATTGACAAAGCGCATATAATAATTTCTTAGTGCTTAGCAAGCTCTGCTACTTTAAAATAGCGTTTACTCATAAATAATGTTCCTTCAATAATTTATAGTTTCTGAGATATTAAATGTCATATAAAGATAATAGCAAAAACCAAAATTAAGTTTGTTTAGAATGTTATTTTCTCACAACACGTACGCACGCACACACACACGCGCGCGCGCGCGCACCGCACACACACACACACACACACACACACACAGAGAGAGAGGACAAATAGTGAAAAATAATAAGTAATTACATTTTTTTGTTATGTTATGCTACTCAATACATTTTACCTATCACATTATCAATGCAATTGTTGACTACTAAATGGAAAACAGATGAATTCTTTACTGTCAAATTAAATTATTAATTTATTAAAAAAAAAATGCTTAGCTGGAGAAGGATAGGGTCATGCATTCAATTGATATGTAACATGATATTTATACAAACATACTAGATAAAATTCAAATTATAAGGCTGAACATACATATCTACATATTGTCATTGTTTATTTATTAATAATTGTAATAAACAATGACTACTGGCTAAAATCTTTTGATCGTTATTCAGAAGAATGTTCTTGATAATATACACATGTCATAACAAAGATTATCAGAACTTTGATTCCTAATGTATAAGTTTTTTATCAAAATTACTAAACTTTAATTTTAAAGGCCTCTTTTACTAATTTCGATTAACATTGATTCATGGTTAATTCATATCACGATTGTCAAAGTGAGAACTATACACAGTTTATCTTATCAGAAGAAAAAGAAGAAGAGGCACTTCTGCGAGTTAAGCGTCGATTAATTTAATCGACAGAAGTTGGTGAAAGAAGTCGTAAGTATCTCAGAAATTATAATATATTATTACCTTTGTATACAAAGTTTCATTTAAAATCTAAATAATTCGAGTGATTCTTAAAATTAAAAAAAGAAAAATGAAATTTTTCCTTTAAGTTTGATACCCTAGTATCTTTCAAACAATTAAAACTAAATCGTTTCGGATATTAGGCCATAAGTTTTCGTCTCGAATGTGTGTGAACAATCACACACATATATTAAAATTTTTTAGAGTACACTTAATACTATCTACTCTATATGTCAAGGTCAAAATATCATCCAAACTGTTTTTCTATAAAATTACCAATAAATTTTAACATATGTCTATTATATAAATACAGATTTAATATTAAATTCTATTCATAAATTCTTTCTTTCATTTATTTATTTTTTTTTATTAAATATTACTTCCTTAAAAAGTAATATTTTCTCTTTTGGATAATTACACATTTTTAACCTTCCGCAACTTCGTACGCTCGTTTCAGCTCATTCGCGTGTAAAGTCGAAATCCACATGCAACAATTGCAAAACTCAAAAGTCGTGCGCCCCTTGGCAGAGAAAGAGGTGGAGTGAAAGTCGCTTCGCGTGAAAAACTGGAAAATCGGGGGAAACTCACTCAATTGTGCAACAGTACAATTCTAGATCTCGTTTCGTCTCTATGACAGATTTCCTAACCTCAATAGTAGTCAACTTTAATGCTCAATAGCTTGGTTCACGGAGCAGAACGACGCTTATTTTTACCAGATTCTTTCGTTTTATGCAAAAACGCATCGAATAAGCCTAATTTTATTGATTTTAGAAGTGATTATGCTAAACTATATAATTACCAATTACTGTAACTTTACATTTAAAATTCATTTAAAAATATTTATCCTATTAATGTAGTTAGGTTTAATTAACCCTCTTTATTACTATACTTACCAGACACCAAATTCCAACGAATTCAACTGAAAACTGAATTGTATCTACTTATATATACTATCAGAGAGAAAACTGAGAGATGATATGAGGGCCTTTTTCCTGTAACCCAAAGTGGAAGGGATAACATGAGGTCTGTTTTTTATTGCTGCACTTTCTGAACTAGTACACAGTGCAAAATATACGTTTGTTTCACTTCAACTTATTGCACTAGTTCAGAGTGCAGCAATCAAAAACAGACCTATGCTATGCTCAGTTTGCAAGCATCTCTCTCTAAGGGTGCGTTTACATGTAGCGTAGTATACGGCATGGTGGAATGATATAAGGTGAAGCGTTGCGCATAATAGCGATAACAATACTGGAAATAACCAATCAAGTATGTCCCAATATGCACTTTCTGACGTATAATAGCCTTGGTTATATTGGAACCAATCAAATTTATTCAAATTTATTCTCCTACTGCGCATCTACGGAAGCATTTCACCTTATATCATTCCACCATGGTATACGATACGCGATACAGAAATTAATTAGGGCTACGTTCCAAAATTTCCTCTCTGAGGAAAATTTTACTCGAAATATATAGTACACGTGACGTATACTATAGCATATTGAGTATAATCTTCCTCGCAGAAGAAGTTTCGGAATGTAGTCTGGATAATTATAGGAACCGCAAATCGTGCAATTTACTTTTTTCTCCTCTAAAGTCTAGATTAACAAAAGGTGCGTTCGGCAATGTAAATCTGAAATGCGAGTAGCAAATGGCGAGCTTGATCACGTGATCTTCGAGCAATCCGAACCAAGTATTAATTCCGAACGATACAAAGCTGTAAACTGTCTTTTAAAGTTAGATTATAAAATGAAATTGTTTATTTTTATAAGAAACTAGGTATAGTTTGCGTCTGTATTAAATCTTATATTCAAGACCTTAAAGTCTTAAGTACAGTCTTAAAAAGTCATGTAGAATCAGAGAGCTACATTAACGTCTTAAGACGATCTCGAATGTAAATGTTCTATATTAGTTGCAAGCCGATTCTATATTAGTCGCAAGTTCGTTGTGACCAATATGAAACGTTGATTTTAAAATACAAGCTTCAGATTGGCTGTCACGACGAACTTGCGATCGACTTGCAATTAATGTAGAACCGGCTTAAGATTTGACTATGAATACCGGCCTAGAACAGAATTTAGCGAGCGCTCACTCAACTGTGGAGTTCGCTGAACACAATTCTTGTCTTCTTACATCATATTTTACATGTTCATTGGTTATCGTATCGCATGTTGCCGCGCGGCAAACATGTTCGTTTCCGCGAATTCCGCATCCACTGTGCGGGAGCAATCACCAAAATCTTTCTGTATCGTCTGTTGTGTCGCGAGATGTAATGAAAAGAGTTGTAGACTAAAGTGATTAACGAAATATTTCTTTCATAATTCTGCAATTCTGCATGTTTATGAAAAGAAATTATATATATGAACTCTATTTTGTTGTATATAATTCCTGTTTGGTTCACTTAAAAGACATTTTTCTCACATTCTTTGATAATGGCTTGCATTATTTCTCTCTCAACAGTCACTGATCCCGAAGATGTTTATTTAAACAAAAAAAATGTTAATGAAAAAGTTAATACAGAATCAGATATCTTTAAAGATATTGAAAAACTTAATAATGAAAAAATAACACATAGTCAAAAAGAAGAGAAAAGTATTGAAGGAAATTTAAGAAATATTTGTGATGTTACATTGTTAAATGAAGGAAATTGCTCTAACCAGGAAAAAATAGGAGATAAAAGAACTTCTAATACCTTAGTTAACAATATTCGTCTACGCAATGGAATCAATCTGAACAAATCGACAAAAGAAGTCGAATTAAAAGTTGCGAATAAAAAATATTGTGATATAGATAATGGCATTAATACTGTTAAAAAGATATATTCAAATCTCATGGGTAGTGATTTTGTAGAACAATCTACTTTATGTGAAACATTAATCAAAACTGCTAATGTTGATAATGAATATTATTCTGGATCACCTGAAACAGACTTGCAGATTGCAGAACATAAGAATAATTCGAAAAGTAGGAGTATAAGAAGAATAATAGATAGTGAATCTGAGGAAGACACACAAACAAGCGAGAGTTATAATTTTGCTCAAAAGGTTTTTCATACTACTACTGTAAGTAATTATATTCTACACATAGTGTGCATGTGTGTGGTATTATCTTCCTGTATCATTCTATACTTTATAATAATGCTGATTTTACAATGAATCTAGTCAATAGTCTCAATTATTATATAATTATTATTATATATAATTATCATATAATTATATCTTATTGACCATTATATCAAGTTGACCAATAGCCAACTTGTATTATTAATGCTGATTAGTCAACTTTATAGATAAGTTGTAAAACTTCCGACTATGGACAGTAATAGACTCATTGTAGAATTGGCATTACTCTAGAGATATTAGTAGATCCTTTCAAAGTTTATACTATGGTAGTATGGCTTCTTTTTTTATCTCCTTTTCTCATCACTAAAATAAAATTTAACAAATATAAATAAATTATTTAAAAAATTTACGGATTATTTATTTATATTATATTAAGTAATATTATTATATTATTAAGTATTACGTTATATTAAGGACATTAAGTATTTTGCAAACATTAAAGTTTAATTGTGGGCAAGAAACAATCTGATATATCCGAGTATCAGGTACAGATTGTTAAACTGTAATATTTATAACCATCAAGATTGGCACGTATTAGACAGTATGATTTTAATCTGCTTTTAATCTCCACTCTAGTCATGATCAATTTTGGGCATCTGTATTCTGATCAAAATTTAATAATAGTTCATTTTGCCCTATATTATTGTTAGACAACGATAGAGATGGAATAATAATATATACCATAATTATAGATGAGGCCAGATGAATGTTTTATAGAAAAACTGAAATTGCTCGCAATAATTTTAATAGTCAGTCTAATTGCATATAATAAAATAAATATTGTATATATTAGGTGTAGTAAAAAGAAATCCATTATTTTTACTACACCTAATATAATAAAATAAATATTGAGTTAAAAATATAGTCGTTAAAAAGTAAAAATCAAATCCAAAAAGATACAGTTATAAGGTACTTACAATTAGTCAAAGAATAAATTTAAATTGTATAACTATATAATGACAGATAAATACTAATTGAGAGAAAAATAATGATTGAAAAGTATTCTTGGTAACTATTGCAAAGTCAAATTTTGTTTATAATCGATATATATGCTTCGTGGAGACCCTCTGTATCCCTTTGTAGATTAAGTGTGCCTCCCAACAAGCGACACAGTACAACACAGTGATCATCTCATCTTTGTTTAACAAGGATGTAATGATTCATTGTGTCACAACTGTGTCATCTTATGTTGCTTGTTGGAAGGCACACTAAGACTATTTTTTTTATTTTTGTTATTTTTTTGCTTTTTAATATTCAGCGACTCTAAGAATTAGACGTTTGTTATAGCATGGTTCTTCATCTAAAATTTGGATATTGTTCCTATTCAAATTATGTTCAAACTGCAATCTATGTTCGATTATTACAGATCGAACAGACGTGTTCCAATGGATATGATTATGATGTTCTTTAATTTTTATTTTCAACTATCTGCTCGTCTGCCCAACATATGATGTATCACAATCATTGCACTTAATCTTATAAACTACGTTATTTTTCGATAAGTGAACACGAGGGTCTTTTTGAACTTTTGTATGTTTTTGTTAGAATTATAGAAAGAAACTTTGATGTCATTATTATTAAAAATTATTATTATTTAAATTTTTCGGTCAAAGGAATAAAAGGTACATTTTTTTGGTCAATGGAATAAAATCAATAAAAGGTACAACAAACCATGATGGTAAAACGGTTGAATCAAACTTTGAAAGAATCGAAATTTTTGAAAATTTCTCTATAAAAACTCGATTTTCGACCTTTGTATGTTGGAAATTTTTATTATATTCAATGTTGTATCAGCAATCGCGTTTCGTGGCAGTGATGCAATTCCGGCTCCAAGCACACCGGCATTTCATCTTAGATTTTTTTTAGTGATTTTTTTAGTGGGTTTTATTGAGTTGGACCCACCTTGTGGGTCAAAAGCTTAATAAAGTCTTAAAAATAAAGATACATTTTAACTAGTAGTTAAAATCAGTTTTGCCCAGATCAAAACAAAAAAAAATTCGTCTTTCTGGCCCATCCTGCGAAATATTAGCATTAATGATATAATAATCCGCAAACTTTGAAACAATTTTGAAGAACATTTCCATGGAATTTCCTTAAAACTGTAAGTATAAAAAATACATATTTAAAACATATTGTCTTCGTTGTGTAGGCTAAAAACTATCGGGCTTTAATTGATTCTGAATCAGAAGAAGAAAAACAAAATGAAGAAACAGAATCTGAAAAAGATACACAAACAAGCGAGAGTAATAATTTACCTCAAACGGTTTTTATTGTAAGTATTACTGTAAAAATATTGTATATAAATGTTTTCTTATAATTTTAAAATAATATAATAAATTATAAAAAATATTTACAATATATTATACATCTTTGTTACAGAGTGAAAATCGAATTTCAGATTCTGAATCAAAGGAAGAAAAACAAAATGAAAAAACAAAAAACGACATTTCTATCATATTTAATAAAGCATCTGAAAATAAGGATATTAAAAAAAAATCTCTTAAAAAGAGACGGGTATGTATGTGGTATGGCAAAAAAATTCAATGAATAGTATAAGAAAACACAACACTTAAAGGCAATGTTGGAATGATAATTATCATGAATTACACTGAAATCAAAATTTTCAAGCTAGTTTTATGGATTGTTTATAAATTTAAAATGTTTATAAATTTAAAATTTAAACGCACAAATAGAAGGCCCGGGTGTGCATTTCAAAAAGAGATCGTAAAAAAATATAAAAAATTCACTTTTGACTTGTACAGCTGAAGTTGAAGTTTGCTTTATATAAAAGTTTTTGAGTATGAATAGCATAAGAATCCAGCAAATCTCGAATTACTTGAACAAACAATACTGAATTTGTAAAACTAAGATTGAAAAAAAAAATTTTTTGGTTGAACATAATTCATATGTGTATACGTATACTTAGCAAAGATTTAGAATAATAAACAGCAGTAATTGTATCTTCAGTAGGTGTTCGATCTTGTAACAGATGATGCTGCAATATGTTAGATAAGGATAGATGTACGTGTTCTCTATCATTTTGCATTTTTCGCATTAGTTATTAATTTATGAACATTTCCAAATTCGCCCAACTTATCGCCAAATGCAAGTGTGCGGCGAGATAAGATCGCCTAGAGAGACGCACGTTCTTCATCATTAGACATGTTGTTTAGAAGCGACATTGATATTAATGTGTCTAGTGACGGCGAACGTGCACTTCGCTGGGCGATCTTTTCTCGTCACGCGCTAATAAACAATTATGATAAATTTGAACCGATGAAAGTACATCTAATTAGATATGAGAAATCCTATACTTGGCCAAAGCAGATCTTAGTGTTATATTCGTTAAGGCCGAAAAAGATATCGGTATGCGGTTTGCAGAATCAGATTATATATATAAACTTACACTGAAATATTTAAGCATTAAGATCCGCTTTGACCAAATATAGGATTTTTCTTATATAATTGGATTAATTTAATTTATTTTCTCATAACATTCTAAACTTTATTGCCACGTTTACAGTTCTTGAACATCTATTTTTTTAGCTCGTTATTAGTTTTAATAATTTTTAATAATTATAACAACAATAAGAATCTAAAATATAGCACTTAAAGCAGTGTTTAAGATTTGTGGAATTCTGATCACTAACTTGATATATAATATATCGGTGTTTTTCTATTAAGGGGAGGTTCTAGTTAGAGGTTCAAAATTTACGTATTTTTTATCAATTTTTTTCATAAGGAAAGGAAAGAGATATCAAAATAATGCTTTTTGCATTGTTTTTTATATTTCAACATACAAAAAATTTTTTGTTTTTAGAAATGTAGAAAATTGCAGCTGTAGCCTATGGGTGCATCAGAGTATGTGCAGCGCATACGTGACCAATTGACGGGAAATCTCGACTGTCAACAGTTTATCTGAGACAAATAAACTAATGCAATCATTAAAATGTATTAAATTTGTGGGGCCATGAACCTCATTTTATTTGAAAAATTTTTTAATTTACAGAATGACAGGCATTTGAAATTAATAGCGTTTCTCTTGGCTGACACTATCGCTCACTAGTGCAACACTCAAATAGTGTACCGTGTTTTCGTGGCTACGGTGTAATGCAAATTTTATAATATGTACGAAGTGGGATTTTGCTATACCGTTTCAAAAGGACGGTGCAGAGCCAGTGTGACATTTAAAATTTGAAAATGGAAGTCAAGCGGGAAGGGTTTTAGCGCAATAATGATGTAGTGTACACCATGGTATTCTAATGTAGTGTAGCTGAGTGTAACGTTTACACCCAGTGCGAGGCTCCCAAGAGAAAACGCTATAAGTATCAATTTCACGAACTTTTTTTCACTTTCAATCTGTTCAAAGAAATAGTTATTCTGGAAAATTTATGCATTTTTAGATTCATGGTCCTATAAAAATTATTTATTTTTTGTAGGAAAAAACTTCATGTCAATCGGATGATTGGTTGAAGCTATACATTTCCCGTCAGTTTGAAAAACGTAAATTCGAGAAAATCATGTTTAAAGTTTTACTTTATAACTTTTTGTTAACTACAATATTTTGCAACTTACATTTAATCAGCAATTTCTGACCTATAAGTCAATTTCTCCTGTTCGAAGAACAAATTTTGATCCATTTAAGCCCTTCTTCTTTCGATTCTTGTTTTGCGCGTAATATCATTGAGCTCACTTGATTTTCGACCGATGCAAAATCCAGTTCAACAAGTCATAAGTTGCTTTAAAATTTTTAATATTGCAAAATCTAGTTCAACAAGTCTAGTTCAACAAATCTAGTTCAAGTTATAAATTGCTTTAAAATTTTTAATATTGCAAAATCCTTTTACAGATATATTTTACACACTTTAGAGATGCAAAAAATATAAAAAAATCGATTTTTTTGATCTTCCAAAGTAGAACCTTTCCTTAAGAAAAAGGAAGACATTGGACATAAATGTACGTCAGTACGTGTCACAATTATCAACATGCCACAATTACAAATCTTGGCCAGCAAATGATGTTATATTATAGCAGTTACAATATAAATTAATAACATTATTTTGATCCTATAATATATAGGGCTCTATAAGAGCTTCTAAAGATGAGGCAATGCGTCAGATACATAGCGAAAGTCAACGTTTATTAAGAGAAACAGAAATTTCTTTACCGTATCATAGGCCAAAACAGCGTACATTACAAGAATTTTTGAATAGAAAAAGAGTATCAGCTGTTCTTCCGAAAGCACCTTCAACGGCAGCGAAACTTAAGATGTCATCTGCGATAGTAAGGTAATTTTTTGTATATGTATATACATAAATTATAGATATATTAGGTTATATAGTATTTGGTAATAACCGCATCATCTCTTGTGAGCAGGTAAAGCGAACTGAATTGAGTAAAAAAGATCTATCATTTTGTAATTTTATGCAAAAGTTGTACCAAGTTACCCATTATATATAGTGATATTGATTTGCTATGCAAATCCAACTATGCAATCTTCACATGATGTATTATGAATAACGTTAATACACGACATACGCGACATTTAAACTTTAGCAGCGCATGTCAAATATTTTTTCGCCAAATGAAACTTAATTATACTATTTTGAAAAGGTCTTGATGTCAGCTACAAGAATTTGCAATAAAAAAATATAGGAGTTCTCATTAAAATAATTCATGCGATCTTAATGTGACATTCCTAAGATTGTTCAAAGTCAATCCAATATCACCATATAATGGATTAATTGATGTTCTATTTTTGAAAAATTTTACACAAAAATGTCACCTTTCCTAGCTAATTCAATGTCCTGACCTTTTTGTGACACCCTGTATATATACATTATATATTTTAAACGTATATTCATGCACGCACACATGTTTTACAAATTTTTTAAAAATATAAACAAATTATATTTATAAATATTTATTTTTAATATTTATATTTAATATTTTAAATTGTATTTATAAAATAAATTATATTTTTAAACAGTCAGGTACTTGCGGAAAAGGAAAAAGAAGCAGAACTTTTTTACAAATCTTCAGATTCGGAAGATGATGTACAATCTATGCCTTTAATTAGTAAAAATATAAAAAAATCTTCCATTAGAAATGAAAGAGAGATGTCATCAATATGTATTGAGCACACATATATTCAAAATCCTAAAAAATTTGTAATAAGTAATCGACATTCTCAAGCTATTAGAAAAGAGATTGTACAGAAAAATCATTTAGATGTTAATGCGTGTGAGGTGTTACTTCAAAATGATTTTTGCGAAGTAGATCATGGAACTGTAGAGTCAGCTTCCTCAGTAGATAATAATTGTAATCCAGATAACGGATTTGATACATTACTATCACAAATAACAAATGAATATAATCAAAATTTCTCAAAAATTAGTTTACCAAGAAAATTGATTGACATACATTTTGAAAATGACTGTGAAATGACTGTGAATGGCTGTGAAACATATCTCGATGAACAGGAAGTAACAAAAGAAACAGCTAAAACTACTTTGAATAAGAAAAAATGTATTAATGACGACAAAAAGTTAAAAATTACTGTGACAGAGAATCAAATATCAAAAGTATATCAAGATGATTCCAATGTAATTAATAGAAGAGATAAAAATTCGGTTACAGAAGCAACGAAAATAGGAACAACTTCTAATAGTATAAATAGTAAGGAAGTACCTGAAACATTTCAAAGTGATAATGATACAACAGATAATATTATGTGTTCAAATTCTGATGAGTGTACTACACAAAATATAAATAATGAAAAAAAAGATCAATATTCTAAAATAAATGACATATCGTCATCATCTTTTCTTGTAATTAATGATATTCAATCAAAAATTCAACATAATTCTTCAGCAGATGAATGTGAAAAGATTGATAATCACCTACAAGTTCTTTCAAAATCTGCAGACGAGACTTTAGCGAATAGAAAAAAGTTATCAACATTAGTATCCAATTCGAAAGTTACTTTAAGAGGATCGCCAGGTATGATTATTGATCTAACAGATGATGTAAAATCGAAAAAACAGAGTGATAATAAATCTGAAATAACTGTTGTACACTTACAAAATATGCAGAATCTTCTTCCAATTAATGAAGTACTTCCATACAAGACACCTGTTAACATTGATAATTCTGAATTGAATAAGCCTGGAGCCAAATTAATGCGCTTAAAGGAAGATCTGAAATTACAAATGATTTTAAAGCGTAACAAAGTATGGAAACTGAAAGAAATAAAGATGCAAACGCAGGAGGAAGAATGGAATAGAGAGGAAAAAAGTGATTATGATTTAGATGAACAAGAACAAGCTGAATTGGATTTTGTATCAAGTGACAGTGAAGAAAGCGAATTAGAAGAGAATGACGTTTGCATTAGAGATAAGAAAAAAAGTAAATGCCTATTTGCAGATGACGAAGCTGAAGTTACAGACAATGAAGATTCAAGTATAGAAGAGACATGTGATGAGAGCGAGGATAATATAAAATATAATAAACAATCTACAAATTTCAAATATAGAAAAGAATACATAGACGGCGATGTAAGTGAAATAGTAACCGATCAAGAAGAAGAAAAAGATGATGATGATGATGATGATGATGATGATGATGATGATGATAATGATGATGATAAATATGAAGAAGGAAAAGAAGAAAATGAAGAAAGTTTAGATGCAAATATGAAGAATGAAAATGAATCTGATTTTAAAGATATTGACAATGTTAATGCTTGTGAAAGCTTTAACATTACTAAAAATGATAGAAAAATAAAGTTAACAGAAGAGTTCCAAAACGATTCAAACGTTACAAATCCGAGCTGTTTACAAAATCATAGCAGTCAATTAAATATGCCAACAGACATAAATGCATCTAAAATACATTGCGATGATATTGATTGGATAAGTGAAAATGAAAGCAATATGCCTGCTTGTCAACAAGAAATTTCTACAAGAAGTCAGATATGTAAGACACCTTTGACGAAAACAAGTATGCTCGATTTGGTTTCTCCTATAACGCAATTAAGCGTATTAAATACTACCTTAGAAAATGAAAAAGATTCATCACAAAAAAGAGGATGTTTAGTTGATAAATATGAGTTCCTTTTTATGAAAAGCACACAGAATGATGAACTTTTTGAACATGTATGTAATGTAAAAAATAAATCTATTTTAAAAAAAAAACTATTTGATGATATTGGAGAAACTGTTGATGATGAATATCTTATGCGATTATGTTCTGGTAAATTTGAATCTCCGCAGAGAACTGATATAGATTTATTTTCGCAATCTAGTATCACTGAATTGCAGTTATGTTCAAATGATTCTGAGTGTTCTAGAAATTCTAACGCAAAACTAGTTGCTGTTAAAAATTCAAAAGACAAAATGCTTCAAAATATAAAATTGACGTTAGATGAAGATTCTAATAATTCTGTAAATCATGCAGAGAAAATAAATAAAGTTAGCGCAATGAATTCGGAACTAAAATTAAGAGTTATGTCCTCAGATGACGAGGATGAAGATACATTTCTAAAACCTAAAAAACGTCTAGTCAAAGTATTGAATTTGTCTGATTCGGAAGAGGAGAATTCTCAATTCTTCGATAAAGAAGATGATATAAATAGTGAAGAGAAACAATATGTTGATTACGATTCCGAAGAAAATGAAATTATAATTGTGCCAGAAAAGGATATAAAAAAAGTTGCAGCTAGTTTTGTGGAAGAAGAAGCAGAGTTAAGTGAAAGCGATTGGGATTCTGCCGATGAAGATGAGAAGAATTTGGATAAATTAGAATTTGAAGAAGCTGATGATGAACATATAGATGAACACGAAGTGAAAGATCAACTGGAAAAGATCCATATAAAACAACTATTGGATGAAGATAAAAGAGACGTGAGATTGCTGAAAGAGTTATTATTTGAGGACGGCGATTTACATAGTGATGGAATGGGACGTGAGCGTAAATTCAAATGGAAAAATATAGGTACAATATATATACATATATTTTTTAACATTATGTGTAATTATGATAATTTTTTTAATGACAGATGATTATCATAAAATACTTTTTCTCTTTTAAGATATTTTTTATAAAATTCAAATTTCCAAAATGTAATATTTGATATGCTCCAATATGTGTATAACTTTATTTTGTTTAGATAAGTTAGGAAATAATATTGAGATGTCAACACAAATATCTGACGAGAACGAAGGCTGGGTAGACGTGCAAGATGATGAGGAAGAAGCAAAGTGGAGTAAACTTAAAAATGAAAGAGACAGATTTCTTGAGGAAAGAATGGTACTAAATTATTATGTGTAATAATGATCACATTTAAAAAATATAGATATAGAATATTTCTATAGATGTATCTTATGTCTTTACAGAAGTGCTCAAATAATGAAATTGAAGATGAATTATGTCATAGTAAAATCTTTAAACTCGGACTGGAAGCTGTTAAGAAGATCAAAGGTAATGAGTCACAAAAACAAGATACTTCTCTCGACAAGGTAAATTCTTTTGAGAATATTGAACCAATTATGCCACGGAATATAACAGATCTCTTGAATGGACCAAGTATTGGAAAGAAATCTCAGACGAGATATGTAAGATTATTAATTTATCAATATTAATGAAAATATGGCGTATATTGTCTCATCTCATAAATGAATAAGTAATAGTTTGTATAAACAGGATGTCTGATAGTTAACAATTAAATGTTCGCATAAAGGCAGAATGGATTGAGTAGAAAACTTTTATTTTACAATTTTTACAATTAATGAATTATTGGGAGCGTTCAGCAGAACGCAACCGTTGCATGACGATTTGCTGATGAGTTGCAACATATTGAGTTCTACTGAACACTCTTCTGGCATGATTGACATATGCACCGGAAAATGCAATCCTTGCACAAGGAAAGATTCAGTATCAACGTCATAACGCGAAACAGATGTATTGTATTCGTAGTCGATTCTCATATTTAAGACTGTCTTAAGTACAATCTTAAGATGTCGAATAAGAAATCAATCTGAGAATTGTATTAGCATCTTAAGACATTATATTTAAGACAGTTTTAAAATAAAAAGACTATGAATACCGTTCTATGTTTAGCGTTTCACAGTTTTTTTCGTATGAACAGTCCTAGACAGAGAGAACAGAGATTTCGAGACAGAAACTGTCCAACTGCACACACCATGTTATCCCTTCCTCCATGGGAAATAATAATCTTAGCTTAAAACGGAAATCCAACGCTATACGGATATATGCGATTCGTGCGTAGCCCGTATTGCCGCTAATAAACAATAACTTTCCATATGCTTAACGACGGCGAACGCGCTTTCTGTGTCGCCGCGCGCTTGCATTTGGCATTTAGGCTGAGCGATTTTGACTATTTTCATAAATGAATATTAAACTTGTTAATTATTGCGAAAATTACAAAATGATACAGGATTTTTCTATTCAATTTAGTCCATTCTGTCTCTATACGAGAGTTTAAGCATTTTTCAGACACCCTGTACATGCCTATATGTATGACACACACACACACACACACACACACACACACACACACACACACACACACACACACACACACACACACACACAAAATATTTATTATTAGATTGTGGATGTTTATGCAAAATACTCAACTGAATATTAATCATCGAACAGTTTTAGTCGATTGTTTGTTAAAAAGTTATTAAAAAGTAAAGAAAGATTGAAATTGCCATCTGTAAATATGCAATTTATGTAAAATATTCAGTTAAGTATTTTGCATAAATATTCGCAGTCTACTTATTATATATAATTTACAGAATGTTATAAAAAAACGTTCACTCTTAACTCGAGGAGAAGAATCGTTAGCGAGGATAGCATCATTGGCAAAACAAAGTGACTCTATTTCTCATGCGGTAAATATAAGAAGAAATTTTATCTTTCCGCATATTGATCAAGACATAAATAATACACTTAAAAAGGAAACAGAAACAATAGCAGATTTGGATTTACAAATTAAGGTACATAATTTAATTATATAATGTCAGTTATATTATAAAATACACATTGCTATTGTACATTGCTCATTTGCTACAATGATATAGCTATACATTTCAAAATTAAAATTAACATAATTTTAATGATTCAAAACATTTAAACTTTTTTGGAAAACTTCATTTCTTGATTTGTACGTAGTATGTAGTAAATAAGCGTTTTTCATTTATCTAATTTTTATATGCTACTATTGAAAAAAATATGTATATTTTTTTATGACTTTGCAGACTGGAAAGAGAAAGATGAACTCAAATACATCATCGACATTGAAAAAAAGGCGAAAATAAAGCTATTCTTCACAAAAAAGTAATAATTATTTATATAATATGTGAATTTTTTTTACAAGTAATATTTAATATAAATTTTATATGTATAGATGAAATGATAATTAATGTTTTTGTTGAGCTACTAAACTTGTTAGATGCACAAAAATGTTAATAATACCTGACTATTTTATATAAAAATTGCTTCTTTTTGACGAGAAAGCAATGAAGTGTAAATGGTTGAACGATTTTGAATAATCAATTCAGATTTGTATGGAACTCATTTACCTTCTTTTTGAATCCTTCCCATTGCGTGTAAATGATCAGAAACAGTTGATTTACCAACATTTAATGTTTCAACCAATTCTTCAAGCTTGAGTTTTCATTCAAAAATTTTGGTTGATCTAAACGTTTTCTTTGTCCTTCAAATCAAAATCACCATTTGTAAATCGTCAATACCAGTACTCACACGTTTTAATTGATGGAGCAAACTCAGAATAAATTTCTAAGATGAATCGGTGAGTTTCGACAGACATTTTCTTCGAATCAAAGCAGTAAAGTAATCGAAAATATTTTTTATCACATTCTATTTTCAATCACACTAAAAAGTATGGTTAGGTTTACGAATGCACAAAACCTGTGTCAAATTATTTGTAGAAATGTCCAAGCTTTGAAATGACATGTTCAATTTCAAAATATTTTTAGCAGATCTATAGCTATAATCATGTTAGTGAGCCCTCAAAACTAACCAGAACAGTAGTAAAAACATAAGATATACAAAAGTATATGTATATAAGAATTTTCAGATTTTTATACAATTTAGAATAGTTAAAAAAATCTGCTATTGTAACCTCAAAACTCCAATTTACGAGCGAAAAGTGAAAATCTCACTTGCCGGCGAAGGATTAAATTCGTAATCGTAATTATTATTTGTAGAACAGATGCAATATAAAGTATTTATATCAAAGATATAGAAACTAAAATCAAGAAAGAAAAAATAAATGGGTTTTTTTTTCATCTCTTTTTTTAAAGATTTGTTCTATTATGTTATTAGCTTTATCTGTAAGAAACATAACATTTGACGATGTTTAAAATACAACAAATGTATAACAGTAATTGTTTTTCTAATGTTGAAAAACATCGTGCGAAATATTTTACAATTTTGCGGTTTTGCACGCTCGATCATATTACTTGTGACTCTTTTTCGACACACTGTTTTAGTATCGGAAATTCGGGTTATCTGTTTGCCATCCTTTCGCATTTGGTCCAAATTGATACACCAGTCTGCGACCAAGTACTGGTAGAAATATTTTGCTCTTGTAATAGTACCTAAAAAGCATTATTTTGCAAAATAACTAATATAACAATATCTAAATATATTTAAATTATTTCATAAGATATAAAAAATTTTATTATTTATTATTACCTCATAGCTCGACTAAGTTTTTCATAAGTCATTTTTGTATTTCCTTTTCGTGAACCCCATCGTTTTGCCACTTCGTCGCTTTTTACGAAGCGAAATTTGGCTTGTGAATAGTCTTCCCAGCAGATTAAACTTGGACACGTTTCTCTATTACGTAGTAAATCTCTAATAAATTCCCATAATTTTCCTTGACTCGCAGCTACAAAAATGCAGTTAAATCGTATAATTCAATGAATACGTTTAATATTACATATATTAAACCTTTCATTTTAATTTCATTTTAATTTATAATTTAACGAAATTAGCATATTTAAAGTATATGAAAGACAAAGAGATAGTGTGATAGAGGGGAAAGAAGGAACGTGTTTTTATAAACATATAAATGCATCCGATCAATGTGTGTCCCATGTGCAAAATATTCGCGTCTAACGTGAACGCCGCTCCTGCCTATCTTCTACGCGTGATACGCTAACTACTTCTTCTTATAATTTGAAAACTAAACTTTGTCTTGTTTTGTATGCAAGTTTGATAATTCATGATGAGAATTAGCAGAGAATTTAATTGTAGCAATAAAAATAACTTCATCAATCCATTACTTTAGTTATAATATCGAAGTTTGCTTTGACACAGTTTGTTTAACACTCTAAAACTAATAATTGAATAACTAAATTTCATATATTAATTACGTGGTTTGATCATATTAGAATCTGGAAATTTTGTGCCAAACATGTTTTACTCTAACTTCAAATGCAACGAAGAATCATATTGGACAAATTAAAAAAGATTTTAATAAGAATAAATTCTCTAAGTTCTTTCTAAACAATTTTAATTATTAACGAGCGTTTTGCCTACACTAACTTTCGAGAAATGATTTATATTTGGACATTTATTTGACTTGTAAATCTCAATTTTTTTCAAATTGTTAAATAATATTTCAAATTGTTAAATAATATTTATTTCAATTGTATAGAAAATTATGGATATATTGAAGATAGTCTAATCAAGACCAAAACGTTTATAATTGTTCTGACTAATTTGTTCAATTATATTCAGAACAGAATCAATAAAATTAAATTTATAGAAGTTTTTCGCTACTTATATCTTGCGTTGTGGTACATGCATTTTGTAATTATTATATATTTCGCAGTTATACTTACTATTTTTCTTAGTCTTTAATATTCTTGGTCTTCCTGGCAGCCTCTTAGTTGCAATTTCGATACTATTATCTGATTCTGCATCTGGAAAAAGCAAGAAAATTGTTTAAAATAATTATGATACCAGATAGGACAGAGAGTCCCTCCTATCTGGGAGAAAGAATTCTTTTTTGATTCCTGATTTACGAAATGAATTCCTTTTCTATCTCATTTCTGTTCTAAAAGTATTTCTAAGTGTTCCAAAAAAATTCACTTTTATATCACCAATTGCGATTTCTTTTTCAGATTCAAAAAGTAATATTTTTCTAGTCTATAAGAATTCGCAATAAAATTAAAATAATTTTTAAATGGTATTTTAATGGAGCTCTACAACTTCATTTTTTGCTCTCTCTGAAGCTCTTTCTTGAGTTTATTACGAACAGATTACGCTAATTCATAAAGAACAAAAACATGCATTTTTTTCGAATTTAAATAGATCAGTTGTGCTGTCTAGGATGTGTTCAAATGTTCATGTATTCATTTATATGTGTGTGTTTATATGTATTATATAAATTTATATGATTTTATATAAGTAAAAGATAATAGTTCAGTTATTGAAGTATTTTTTAAAATGATTTACCGGATATGTTGCTAGAATTGACTCGCGTATACTCATCCTCCGATTGCGCTTGAATGGTATCAAATGGTGGTACTATATCAAAAATTAATAGATTTTATATTAGATTTGCAGCACACTCAATAATCATTTTGCATTCGCATTATTTATTTACTAACAAAGGAAGATTCCCAATGCAGAAATTCAAGATTTTATAGTTTCTACTAATGACAGTTAATATATCGCGAATTATAATTTTTATATATATAGAGTAAATTAGGGATGGAGAAAGAAATAGCGGAACGAAACAATAACGGAAGAAAGAAAAATAATAGGGTGCTAAGCAATTTTGGAAAGCCTGGATACGAAAAGTGGAACAGAATCTGCAGTCTGATTGGTTAGCCTCCCACCGTGTTTTCTTTCTATCACTGTTCTGCTTTTTTCTTTTCCATGAGAATAAAGTTTATTATACCACGATGAAAAATTTTCTAAGAACCTTGTTGTTCAGAATTTTTTGTATTATATAAAGGAATCGAATAAGGAGGAGGCAAGAGTGCCCCAGACTCCAAAAAATTCGAAATTTTTTAAATAAAAAGGACATATCAAGAAACTAATTTAGGCGTAGTATTAATTTTTAATACAGTATACGAGAGATATTATTGAATTGATAATTGCTGAATTTTAATTAAAATATATCTTCGAATATATATATTTAAAAATTTTGAAAAAAATGTTTCACACAAAAAAAGTTAGACTAACTTAAAAAAAAGTTGGCGGAGTTTATTTTAAAACTAAAAAAAAAAGTAAAATATTTTTTAAACGTGAAATTCATAGTGATATCTTTCAAGTATCGTACAATCACTATCGTACAATTTTTTGATAGAAGAATATTTGTTGATATTTTTAACATATATTTTCTTGAAATTTTTAAAATTGGTATTTCGTAGGTACTTCATAAAATTGATACTTCATTTATAATATTATTAAACAAGTTTTTCACAGAATGACATAAAATAAAATGCAAATATCAAATGCTTAAATAAACCAATTGATAATAAAATGCTGTCTAACATGGGAATATATTTTCGAATTGGATCATTTCTTCAATAAATATGGAAAATAATTATCATCAGATAAAGAATGTTCAGATGAGATAGTAAATAAAATGAAAATGCAAAAGAATATATTAAATATATTAGCTGTAGAAGTCGAGGAAAAAGGTTGGATAAGAAAAGCTTTCGCTGAAAAAACATTTTGTCCGATGAATTATTAGACTTTCCTGAAATGTCATTTACTGACCTTAAAATATTTTTTATTAAAACCTTTTATTTAAACCTTATCAACTTAAACAATCGATTTCATATTTAGTTAAAGTGCTTAATGATAGCTTATTAAACGTACAATATGTAAAAAATTAAAATAATATATTCAAACTGAAAGTTCAATCACGTCATATATTTTTTTTCAAAATTTTTAGATACATATATTCGAAGACATATTTTATAATAATTAAAATTCAACAATTATGTGATTCCTCTTATACACTTACGTGCATATTAAAAATTAATACTGCCTAAATTAGTTTCTTGAAATGTCCCTCTATTTTAAAAAGTTTCAAATTTTTTGAAGGCACTTTTGTTTTCCTTATTCGGCTAAGGTTTTTAATAATTTTTTAGAAAATTTCTCGCATTTTCTTATATAAATTAGAACATTTTTCAGAAATGCTAAGATAATATTTTTCTATATTTTTTTTGTAGAACTTTTTATGTATTAAAATTCTAGAATATTTTAAGATTTCTCATTTTATAATTTCCAAAGAAAACTTACAAAATCTAAATAAGTTTAAGGGATATTCCTTTTTAGAAATTTTCATAAATTAGGATTATGAAAAATCTGAATTTATCGTTATATTGAATTCGAAGTTTTTGACCATTTTTTATATCTATAAATATATTATAAATGTAGCAACATGTATACATACAAAGATTTGATATACGTTGTGAATGAAGAAGATTGTACAATCGGTCTCCGTACACAGGATCGTGATTAATAAAATCTTCTCGCGTAAAAGTAACAATTTCTTTCCCCGACACGGCGAGACTATGTT